TCCTCTCTCAATAAGTGAATTATTGACATAAATACATAAAATCAGCTGATGAATTTAGTTCTGTAGCTGAACAGTTTTAGATCTCGACACTTAACAAACTCCTGCCTATCGTGACTCGGCACAAAAATTTAAAATATTGGTTCCGTACGTCATGCGGACTGCGCCCCTCGTGCGGATGGGCGGGAATGGAGGGTAAAAACCGTTGGGATATTATTATTATTATTATTTCTGTCAATTTCCATATAAAACTAAAAAAATTAGAATCATTTTTCACTTAAATTGCTTTCATGAAATTGCCTGTAAAAGTTATTTTCTTAGCGTTAACGCGCATTACCAGCGTTAACTTGGAAGGTTTAGAAAAAACCATTGTCGAATATTTTCGCAACATTGACTCTGAGGATGTCTACAGCTGGATAACAAACCCGTTTTTATGTGACCGGAAAAGTAAACCTACTGAAATGACAAATTAAGCTTTCGAAAACTTTCTGGACATGCAGTGAAGACAGCACTTTGAATATTAAACACTACGAAGGGAGCCAAGAGAGTTCTGGATGCAAGTGTATGCAGAAAACACTGCTGTTGGCAAGATTGCATTACAAATACTTGTGACTTTTACTATTACATTTCTATGTGAGACTACATTTCGTCATTCTGAATATTTTGATAAATATGTATGTAGCGAGCGTCGATATATGTATAACTTTGGGTACATATTTCATAAAAACTTTGGAGGTCTCCACTATAAGAGTGGTATATTTGAAAATTAGAGAGTTCTACCTTTAAGCTAAGTAATACTTGTTTTATCCCCTAATTTATGGGTCCATTTTCCAAAATCAGCCCACCATTATTCACTCAAAGTTGTATTTGGAGTCAGATATGACTTATGTAGGAACTGCATCCGGTTATAATCGCTTACGCTGCAAGCCTGATTTGCTAGGAGTTTTGTTTTTCTCGTTGTTTTATTTTGTGACTTGAAAATATTTTCCACTGTAAGAAAATATTGAAATTGGATTTCATTTGGGTTAAAGAAAACGACAACTGAGAAAAAATATCAACCAATACATTCAAATAAATTGTCAAATAAGCATATTTACATACTTTGTTTTGCCTATCTAGATTAATGTATACTGTGACATAAACAAGTAATTTTTAAGCAAAAAACAAAACTCACTTCAATTCTCATATAAAAATTTAAGATTATCGTCAGTCTCTTCATAATCCAATCATCGGATTTAAAGCAAATTAGAATGGGATCACCTGTGAGGTAACACTTTTCGTTTAAAAAAGAATTATAGTAATCGGTTAACGTGGTGCAAAGTTATGCGATAAAATACATAAAAAAAATTATAAAAAAATATTCCGACGAATTGATAACCTTCTCCCTTTTGTGAAGTCGGTTAAAAACAAATCCTCCAGCAAGCTTTCAGCGTCAAATGATTTCAGGGTAAAATTGTCAAAGCTCCCAATAAACTTAAAGGAAATAATGAAATCATCAAACCAGTTTCAGTCCTCACATTAAAGCTAAAGGAGTATAAAGTTTGCATTGTGTTTTCTTGTTTTCGTTGACATTTGAAGAGTAGGGTGCCACGAAATTCTTTTAGCACAATATGGGTGCCGCGGTGGAACAAGTTTGGGAACCCCTGGGTTAGAGTACGCATGCGCTCTGAGAAACCACATGTGTTAAATAGGAATGAAAGTACATTTATACTGGCATGCATACACAGCAGCAGCTTCATGTAACCAAAATCGATGCCCTTTGCATAAGATTTCTACTGGGATGTGTTTGTGTACATGTAAGTATATATGAATTTATGTAGTACAAACAGGGATGATAAGTTAATTTTTCGAAACTGTATCAAACGTCAGAAAAAAATTTACCAAATCAAGTAAAAATGTACCAACAAAAAATATTAAACGCTTCACAGAAACAACGAATGTTTAACCAAATATGCATTTAATTGACGCCTTCCAAATTAGCATCTTGTAAAAATATACATACAGTGGTGGAAAAAAATAGCGACACGACATTTTAACAATTTTTCCTATTTTTCTTTTATTTATTCTTTTCTTTATTTATTTAATATTAATATTTTCTATTATAAAAGTATAGTATTATCTAACAAAAATCATATAAATTCTTATTTCAAACTTTGTGCAAAAATTATAGAACTTCGGCAAAATTGCACCTAAATTCTCATTTTTATAACTTTTTTTTAGTATGCAGTTTTATAGCTAATAATAAAGTGCAAGTTTTAAGTTCTTAAAAAATGGCGTTGATTTTTGATAATTTTTATTTTGAATGTATTAAGCGTCACGGAGCCAATCAAATAAATACGTCAAGCATTGCGTATGTGTGAGTGAGGTTCGCTCGTGTCTTGCCCGCAAACGTTCAAATAAACGCGTCAATCACCACTTTGTATTATGAATACGCAGTGTTCGTTTGTTAGCACGATGTCATCGGATGAGTATTTGTTGTTAATTATTATATCATTTATGGCATAATTTTATATGTTATATGTTATAAATTAATATTTATTACATTTCATAAAGCTAGTAAGCATTGATAATGAGCAATCAAACGTAAAAAAATTTCTTTTTCTTGTCCGCGCACTTTTTCACCACGACGCTCAGAAGGCAAGTGAGCTTGTTTTTTGTCCACCATATCGCGAGACGGTCAAATAAACAGCCATCAAATTCAAATATCAAAATTTTTTGATTTTCATCAAGCATAGCCGACAACGAGTCGGTGTAGTGTACGTGTAGCCGACAAAAGCCGACGACACCAATACATTTAAAGCGTTGATAAAGATATTTGATCGTCTCCGTGGCGCTTTACGCCCTTTTTTCCATACAAAAAAAAAAATTTTCGAACATACTTTGTATGGAGAAAATGCGTTAAAAAAATTGCGAAAAATCAACGCGATTTAAAACTTACATTTCATTTTAGTAAAATTTAATTCATACTACTACAAACTCAGAAAAATTCTAAAAAATCTGATTAAAATACAATTTTGCAGAATTTTTATAATTTTTTCAGAAAGTTTGAAATATGAATTTATATGGTTTTTGTTAGATAATGAGCTACAATTAAAAAAAAATAATAATTACGTTAAATAAACGAAAGAAAAATAGGCAAAATTAAAAAAAAATTCTCGTCCCTATTTATGTTTATGTACTAAAAGTAGAGAAAAAATTAATGAGATTTTTTCAATGAGACTGCTCGCAAAATTGCAATGTTTGTGGGCAAAATGTCGAACTCGATTGCGGATCGATCTGAACCAACGACCGTAACGTTTAAGGCTTGCATTATGTCAAAAGTAGTGCGATTCATAAAACGTCGAAAAGTGGCATTTTTGGCGAAATGGCAACGTTGCGAACAAAGATGTATGAACGACCTATTGCAACCCAGGATTGCAAATGTATGTGTAAAATAAAAGTTTTTACAATTATATTTCGAAGCAGCCTCAACTGATATACTATTTCTTAAAGTATTCGAAGACTACAAAAAATCATGTGTTTCGCGACTTTGACTTTGCAATGATTGCCAGCTGAAGTAAAGAAGAAAGTTTTCATACAAATGTAATCAGATGTGTCGCAAGTAGGCAAATTTTGAAACAAATGCGACATTTGCAACAACTTTTCGGCGTTTCATGAATCCCACTAATGTCTTTGTTGTAATTCAACCTGTCATTTACTACCATTATGCGTAGGTCAATTCATGAAATCAATTCATGCGTTTGAGTAGAAACTGAGTGGATGAACACCATTTCATGATTTCAATTATACGCGAAATGGAGTCTATGCACTGAGTTTTTACTCAGATCCATGAAATGATTTCGTGAATTGGACTACGCATAAACGTGAGAATTGTGCGTATAATTTATAAGGTAATTTAACGTTTTTATACTCTGGCAACCACATGAACATATGAATTCGTGATAAGAGTATAGGAATTCGCCTAGGAAGATAGACAGCGAGTAAGAAGAAATGCCGAACAAAGGAGTTTGTCTTCTTTCAACTTAAATAAATGCATTTTGCAAATGCCTGGATTATAATGGAAGTAATGGAACGGAGTGAACTGTTCACTTAATTATCTATTGTATGGGCAATCAATTCAAACGATTCTAATGCACCTCAACGCAATGTAAAATGGAAGCATCTAAAATCAATAGATCCTTACGAATTCGCCGCGATTTGTTACGATTCGCCGCGTGCATTATAACCAAGGTACATAAAACAAAAGTGCGTACGTTACTTAGTCCCTTGGTTATATCGCATGGGGCGAATCGTAACAAATCGCGGCGAATTCGTAAGGATATATGATTGCATTATAAACATTTGCATTTATTTGTTAAGGATACAATAAACAATTATGTGACAGTTCACTCCGTTCAGTTACTACCATTACAACCCGGTCTTAAGGATGCTAGAAGGGCGAATTCATATAAGGTGGTGTTACCGGAAAATGAATAGATAAATTATATTTGGGAAAATTAATAAAATGAAATGAAGTTATTGTTTCATTTCTAACCAAACCTACGCATGTAGCTCAATCGCCTAATGGTTTGCCTAGCCGTAAACATATGTTTACACATCCAATTTCGTGAGTAGGTACCTGGTACTCACACCTTTTTTAAGAAGTTACACTTCTATCATGTGTACGGTGCTACACACGCCCTTATTTTATAATGACTTTGCTAAAATCTTAAAATCAAAAGTTATCGAAACAAATTCTATGGGCCTGCGAAAAGTTGCTTTCTACCTTCTAGTTCATTTATATAATCGTGATTTATTTAAACGTTTTTTTATTTTGTTTAAATTTTTGATATGTATGTATATGTTGAGATTATAATGGCGATTTCGTTTCTACAAAAAATCTTGCCTTCTCATCGCCCTCTTCTTAGTGTTTGTGTGTAGAGGGCAAGGAGTGGGTTGCATTTTTCGGTAGAAGCGAAATCGGCATGAAACATGTTGTACAGTATTACAACATATTCGAGTACTTACATTTCTTTGAGATTTGTAAGCGGCTGAAATGCACCCACTGGTATATATTCAATTTTATTACTTCCCAAATATATTACTTTTGTGTTAATAAGTCCTCCTACAAAAGCGTCTTCACTTAATGTTCTTATACTGTTGTCGTTAAGATAGATTGTTGTAATGTGAGATAATCCTGAGAAAACTCCTGGTGGTATGTCTTCCAACTGATTATATCGCAAATCTCTGAAAAATAGAAGATACATAAGTTAATTAAAATTCCGTCCCCGTATATTTGGTAAACAGGGCGAGTTATCGAAAGGAAATTTCGAGATTTTCATGCTAGCCCCAAAAATTAAGAACTTCAGATCGATACTACCAGCTGTCATAAAAAGTTTATGTTTAAAGCAAAGGTTTTTTCCGATATTTCGATTGCTGAGTGGAAGATCGACCTATCTCGCCAGCCAATTCAAAAAGCTCTATCTCAGAAAACTTTTTACGAACGCCCTATTATTGAAAAACACCCTATTAGGTTGAATAACGCCCTATCTGAGAATTCGGATAGGGCATTTTTCAATTAAATTCTGAAGTATGGCGTTTTTGAAAAGTTTTCTGAGATAGGGCGTTGTTGAAATATTTTCTGAGATAGGGCGTTCTCGAACTGGCTGCCGAGATAGGTCGATCTTCCCCTCAGCCTTCGATTTCTTTTAGCTGCCGCTCCCAATAAAAAAAAAAACAAAAGTATTTATTTATTTATATATGGAGCCTTAACCCCCAAAAAAATCCGAGCGACAAATGTGTGTATGTTATTTTTAAGTATAAATACATTTTCAAAGATGCTCTAGGAAGTAGAATGACAGATATTAAAGCTGACTTTTAACCGTTAATCGCAAAATTGTTCCATACGAAAATTAAGAAGTTGTTGTTCCAGAATGTTTCGATTCGGATGCCGTTGCTGATACTGGAATTCTAAAAAAAAAACATTTTTTAAACAGCTACTGAGGCCGCACCACTCATTCCATACCATTCATACGGGCAGCAGTAGAAAGCTCGTAAAACAAGCTATCTAACGGTGTCTTTTGCGTTTATAAAATACTAGCAGATCCGGCGGACTTCGTCCCTCCCAAATTTAATTTTTTATTTAAACATTTGGTCCAACGTTTTCCCAGCAATTCACGTTCACGTTTGGTTTTGTGGCCGTCAGAAGGCATGTCCTCCACCGCCATTTTAAATAACCTAATGAAAGAGTTATGTCGCTGAAGAAGTTCTTGTGGCAACAATGATCTGGTTCGATGGTGAATCGTCCTTGAGTCTGTGTAGTACAGTTGGTGGCAATTTTAAAATGGGAGTCCACAGGAATCAAATATACATAGACTTACTTCAGACGAAATACCTTATATATCTTACAATTGAATTTGTAGGCATTTATCAACAATTATCTTTATTCTGTTTAGTCGCCCTAAAGCAAGAACCGCAGTGGTTCTGGTGGTTGATTGAACGGTGGTAATTTAACCTTGATCCTTGGTGTCTCCGAGTGACTCCACTTGACGATTTTTACCAATAACTCTACTCCAGCGCCACCTTGCAGCTCTTTTTGTGCAATAGTACACATTGCCCCCACCATTACCAATACGGACACTAAATAATTTTTAGTAAGAACCCAACCCCAGCGCCACCTGGCGTTTTGAAGTTGTTGACCTAACCAACAAATTTTTATTTTACAGCAGAAGCAAAATGCATTATAAAATGAGTATCAGAAATAGGTAACATGTGGCATGTCCGTTGTTTTTAGTACTAACACTTTAAAATTTTTATTGAAGGTGTATTTTAATAGATACATCCTACCAACATCTGTGAAAACCGCAGTTTCGAAAAAAGTGTTGGTTAGGGCCTCTGTAAATTAAGGTAACGATATTTATTTACAGATAGTTAAAAGTTTCAGTATCTTTGGAAGCTGCCACGCCCCCTTTCCAATAATCCCTACTTCTCAAATACCTCGGTATCAGGTCCACCTATCAGAAAAAAAGTAACCTGTATGTTAATCCAAGAAAATCGCACCATAAATAAAATTTTTTCGAATAGATCGGTCCCTGGTCCACTTACCGGACAAAAGGGATTCTGTATTTTTATCTAGTCAAAAAGCTACCCACGTGCAAAATTTCAAGCAAATCAGACTATAAATACGATGTTTTCGAATAGATCGGTTCTAGTCCACTTACCGAAAAAATGATCCTATATACTAATCTATGCTAAAAGCTACCTATATATACGGTGACCATCCGTTCTGTTTTTTGCAGGACCGTACTGTTTTTCAAAGGTCGGTCCTGCGTAGTTTCTCAAACCTAAAAAACCTGAAAATGTACTGATTTTTTCCAAGTGTCCTGCATTTGTCCCGCATTATATTCGTTATTTTAAAATTACCGGATTCTCAATCAAATACGCAGATTCATTTGGTTATTTTTTTCATTATTTTAAAAATTCGATAAAGAATACATATCATTACAGTAAATTTTGAGTCAAAGATAATGAAAATCGGATTAGATATGTAGATGCTATGGAGCGCAATCTGCACAAATTATATATTTTTGTAAAGGGCACTTTGTAACTCGTCGTTTACGTCGATTCCTGACGTCGATTTTTGACAAATAACTGCGAAAAGTACCAAAAAAACTCAAAATTTAACTATAAAATAATCTTTTAAAGATTTTCACTCTTCGTGTAAGCTATTGTAATTATAATATGTTTTACTATACTTTCATAAATATTTATGTAAAAAAAGATTAATATCGATGAAAAAAACGTGATTAATTTTTTAAGTTTAAAATGTATTAAGAATTTAGAATGATATATACTCTTTTGACATTTTTATACTACGTAAATATATGTAGGCATATTTTTGAAAAATTGTCCTTCATTTTGAATCCATATTTATGGTCACCGTACCTATATACCAAACTTTAAGCAAATCGGACCATAAGACGATTTTTTCGAATAGATCGGTCCTTGGTCCTCTTCACGGAAAAAAATAATCATATGCGCTAATCTAGGCAAAAAGCTACATAATAATAATAATAGATTGGCGCTT